CTTGGCCAGAGGGTGAGAGCCTGCAGGTGAGAAGGGCAACATTGGCTATGGCTGGGGGAGCCCAGGATGGTGGGAGAGGACAACCCTGGGGCTGGGCGTGTGGTGGCTCTCACCCAGAGGCACAAGCAGGAAGCGAAGGTAGTTGAGCCAGTCAGGTGTCTTGCTGGCCAGCTGCTCCACAAAGAAACGGAGGACAATGCTCAGGTAGCTCTGGTCCCCCGCCACCACCACCTTCACTGGGGGAGGCATGTGGGAGTTACAGTTACAGCTGCCAAAGGGAGAGAAAAGGATGTGAGGGATGCACAGGGGCTCAGCAGGGGACATGCCCTGCCAGACCAGCCAACCCAGCATCAGAAACCCATTGCTAACAATTTCCAGCTCCTATAGTTGTGTCCACAATCCCAAAGGGTCCTAATGAGCCTTGGGGGAGCCAGGGCCCTTCCCAGCCCTTCTCTGCAGTTACAGGGAGCTGTCAGGCTGAGCCCAAGCTGTACTCACTATCGCTGGATGCGGGAGACAGTGGTGTTGAAGGCTGCCTGGATGTCCGCCACGGAGCAGGTAGATACGACCAACTGCTTGTGCGCCTGGAGTTGCTCACTCACATACTGCCAATGCAGAGAGCTCAGGTTAAGGCACTCTGGGGGTGCTGGCCAGCAGCAGCCCACGCCTGTCCCGTCCCCTGTGCCCCCTAGGATAGAGCTGGGGCCCCTGTCCCTACCCATGCCATGCAGGGAAGCTGAAACCATCACATCACGCCTGGCTGCATGCCCAAGCATCCCCACTCCTACCAGCTCTGCTCCAGGGGGCTGGTTGCCCCAGCCCCTTACTGTCACCTTTGAGTACAGCATCCACCACCCTGCGATGGCAAGCGCAAAACTGTCCCAAGAACCAGGCTGTGCTCCTTCAGATAAAGGGTTTGGTCCAGGGAACCTCTGATTTAAATCCTGCCATCCCACAGCAGGGCCCAGATCTAGGCTCAGTTCCCCTCTGCTTGTTCCCTTCTCTTGCTCTCTAGGTGTCTGCGTGCAGCTGAACAGTAGTAAAACAGGCAGTTGTGCTAGGCAAGGGGGCTTAGAAGATGCCACGATAGGGTCTGGGAGTAGACATTGCTCCTTTTTCCCCATCAGGGCAAGAGCTACCGCAGGAACAGGACAAGGATGTGTGGCTTGGGTCAAGACTCCACCACCTCTCACTGAGAAGCTTTTTCTTCTGCCACAAACCCTACCTTGATTTTCCAGCACTGTTTCTGGATGTGAAGTGTAGATGCAAGATCCCAAAGGGGTCTCACCAGTGCCTTATATAACTGCTGTTTGCGTGTTTGCATACATGTATGTGGCCCTGCTCACCTTCAGCAGTCAACTCCTCCAAGCATGGGGGACGAAGGTGCTCATCAGGGGCTGTGCCCATCCTCACACGGCACGATGGTGATCAGCATGAGGCAGGAAGGCCTCACATGCCTCCCTGCCCAGAGACCCCAGCTCTGACAACGCAGTTAACAGCGGGCTATGCTCTCCCATCCCTGAGTGAGAAACGGCACCTCTGCTGCTTCCCAGGGCCTGGTGCCAGCAGAGGGAGTCTGGCACCTCTGCCAGGGCATCTAACAAAGCTCTGACCAGCGTGGACACTGGGAGCCAGGACCAAGCAGTGAGGGTAAAAGGCACAGCCTGTCAACCAGCCTTTCTAGGACTGCTCAGGGCATCATGCTTTGAGGATCCAGCAATACTGGTGTGTGGCACATGACGGAGAGGACACACCGGATTCTTGTGTATGTAGCTCAGCAATGTGCAAATGCACTGTCTCCCCAAAGAAAGGGCCATGTTGCAGGAGAGGAGGGCACAGCTGGTGGCAGTTTCCCCAAGACACCCTGCCATGTTTGGGAGAATCCCCTGGGACCCTGCTTACAGCTTCCCTCATGCATCCAGCTCTCATCACGCCTACTCACCTGGCCCTGCCACTCAGCAACATTCACCAGCACGATGCTCTCGGGAAGCTGCTCGTCTGAGACCAAGATCTGGTTCAGCTGATCGTAAACAGACTTTCGGGGCACCTATGACAGCATCACCAAGGATGTTAACCCCAGTTGGCTGCCTTGGCCACTCTGCTCAGGGCTGAGGGCCTGGCAGGGCTCTTGAGTGAGAAGCCTCCAGGTGAGGCAGGTTCCAGGACCTCACCTGGGTGCTATGCCATGAGTCTGGAGAGCTCTCACTGTCCAGGCTGCTGGCACGGCCACCCTGTCCCTTTGAGCTCTGCCGGTCCTTCACAGAGGTGCTGCGGGGACGCCACAACTGCTTGCTCTCTGCCTTGCTGTGAGTGAGAAGCAGTAGAGGCAACACTATTGAGGAAATTCCATTTCCACCAACCCCCACTCGCTCCAGGGAGCTAACGTGAGCTCCCTCAGCCCTGGCATGGGGCGTGGACCTGCCTTACCTGGGGGACACGGCACTGGGGAGCTCAGCTTTGGTCCCGGGCCCCAGCTGAGCCAGCCTGTCCACACTGCCCTCCCTCGTGGCAGCCTCTGTGGGGGCCAGCCGTGAACACGGCTCCTCTGCAGCCAGCTCCTGAGGGCCACACGCAGTCACGTCACACACGCCGCTCTCCCTGCCCTGCTCCCTGCACCCATGGGTGTCCCCATCCATGGTAGGCCTGGTGGCCCTGCTGGAGAGCCAAGGCTGCAGGGCCTTGAGGAGGATGGGCTGCATCTCTTGCAGACCCTAACCCTCCTTGCACTCTTGCTGCTCTCCAGCCCAATCTACTTGTGCCCCCAGCCCTGCTCCCAAGCTGGTGGGCACCCCCGGTACCCCAGAAAGCAAGGCCTGAGGCAGTTCCAGCCCCGCTCCACATCCCGTAGCCCGGACTCACCACTGCAGGGATTTCCACTCCTGGCTCTTCCTGTGGTCGCAGCGCTCCTGGCTTCCGCTTATCTGCCTCGCCCTGGGGGACAGGGAGTGGGGTCAGAGCAGGATAGAGCACCCCAAGCAGAGTGGCTGCCAGGGACCCATGCCTGGCCTCACAGAACACACGCTCCCACAGGGGAGCCCGGTGTCCCCCTGGGACTGGCCCCAGAAGATGCCCCCCATTGCTACCTGTCTGCCTGCGGTGGGAAAAAGAAGAGGAAAGAAGGGAAGGAGCAGCCCCAGGCAGATGCTGCCAGGAGCTGTGGTCTCAGAGGGAGCTGCAGGCACTGCAGGGAGGCTGGGCTGGCTGGGGGGGAAGGGGCAAGAAGTGGTGGTGGTGGTGGTGGTGGTGGTGGTGTAACTCACAGGGCTGCCCGACTCTTGATCCTGCCCTTTCTGGCTGTGCAGACTGCCGATCTCAGTCTGGGAACCAGAATGAGAGACTCCCTCAAAGAAACGCCTGCAGAGAAACAGACAGACGAACGGACGGACAGACAGACAGACGGGAGAGAAAAAGGCAGGAATAAGAGAGGAACAAAGTCACCACGATCCCAGCACACTCCCACCATCCTGTCCCAAGCACAGAGCACCGTGGAGAGGTCCCCACTGAGACACAGGACCAGACACTCAAGTGTCTGAGCAACTCACAGTTTAGGAGCAGACCTGCCAGCCCCACGCACCATGGCCTGCTGCAACAATGCTGGGTGCAGGGACAGGATGGGGCCACCCCAGACCAACAGGGCCAAACCTGTGAGCCCCGTGAGGTGGAGGCAGAGTCCCTGTCTCTTAGGCAGCAGCGATTTCTCTCTCAGGTGTTCCCCTACCACTGCAGTGCAGGATAAGGAACTACCACCTTGCCCCATCTCACTGGTACGTGGTCCCTGTCAACACCACAACTCAAAATGCTGCTGAGCCTTTCTGCCTCCTCTGTCCCAGCATGGCTTCCACAGATTTCTGCTACCTTCTCTCTCTTCTGCTCCCCCTTTTCCAGGAAAGGCTCCTTGCCTCTGACTGATGCTGCTGCAGCAGCTTCCACCTTCCCTTTCTGCTTTCCCCTTTCCTGAGGCTCTGAAGACCACAGTATTGCATGCTGCAGGTAGTGCAGCAGCACAGCAATGTTCTGTTTTGTTCCCCAGCACTTAAAATTTGCCTTTCTTTAGGTCTCTGAGGTGACGTTTTGGTAGAGCTGAACAGTACAACGCCAAGGTCCTGTTCCCAAACCACAACGGTCAACAGAGGTACTCCTTTGGAGCAGCAGGATTGTCTCTGCCACCACAGTGCGAGCTTCCACCTTTGTTTCCCCTTTTTCCACCCATTATTTATTTGCCAAGGACCCCCTCCACATCCCGTGGGCTGCTCAAAGACCAGTCTTTAGGAAACAAGCAGGCTCTACCACTGGATCTCACCTGTCAGCTTTCCCAGGACCCTTGCAGCAATCACAGCCCATCTGCAACGTGTGACTTTCCTGCAGGAGATCTGAGCCAGCTTCCCTCTGAGCTGTATGTATGTATTTGCTCACTAACTCCCAGGAAAAGTTTCTCCTGATTCACCTGGCGTGCAGATGGGGATACCAGGTTGCAGGTTTCCAGGGATGGCCACAGAAGCGTAGGAGCAGTTCTTCTGTTAGGACTCTGCCAAAGTTTCCAGTATTTTCTATTGTCCTCATCTGGATATATCCGCAGCTTTCTGCAGGATAGCTACAAACCTCTGAACATCTTGGCTGCTCCTTTTACTTTCCTTTCAACATCTTTCCTCATCTGTATACAGCACACTGTGCTGCCACTTGCTTTTACTGCTCCTACAAGGACATTTCATCTCAGTCAATGATGGTCCCCACCACAGAGCAGCTCTTCAGCAGCAGTGTTTATACACTGGCTGGGAGAAGTCAAGGCTCAATTTTCCTCTCACTGGCTCTGTGACCAGCTGCTTCATGACACGTTCATTTACCAAAGCTACAGGTTTAGAGTCACCACCCTGTACAGTCATTACTCTACACTTGCCTTTTCTCAGCCAGAAATTTCAATCCATACAGACTATGTTAATAACTTGAGTCAAACCAAAGAATTATGTAAGTTTTTTAATAATTCACCCACCCAATCAGCATCTCTCCCATACTCCTCTGAACTGTCCCAATAATCCCACCAGAATGTCACATACTCCTGGTACCACTGGCACCTCAAAAAGGTATCTTCATCCCCTCCTTTTTCTTAGATATTGAATGTGTCTAGATTGTATACACTTGGTCTGGCTTTCAACACCCGACATGTCTCCCCCTTCCCCATGGAAGCTGTGCCTGCTTCTGCCCTCTCTCACTTGCAGTTCAGAAGCTTTCATCCCTAGAGGATGTGTCACACTGAGCATAAAGCTCTTCTGCAACTCTCAGCTTTCCCTGTTCCACAGTTTAAAGGCTCTCCTACAGGCACAATTGAGTCTGAGTCTCAGCAGGTTGAGATTTAGGTAAATCCCAGCCCTCTTGCACAGCCTCCTCCTGTTTTCAACGAACTAGCCCCCTCCTCCCCATCCACTTTCCAGTCAGCTATGGAGACATTTGCCTCTTCACCTCTGATCTTCAAAGGCTCTCACTGTTGAGATCTTATCTAACAGCCTCAGTTCTAGCTCCAGTTTCACCGCAGTGCAGGAGCAGCCTTCAGCTGTGTGGCCACCCTGGCTGATCAAAAGGATGGCTATCTGCTCCCAATACCACTGGCCCAATCCAGGGCACCAGCCACTGCTCACCCCTAAGGACTGACTACCTTAATGCCCCTGCTCCACAGAGACTTTCACAGTGTCTAGCAAGGCTGCCTATGACAATAAATAATCCAATGTGAGGATCACATCTTGAATTTAAAGGCTAGGCTGGAAGGTCATCACCAGCTGAGAAGGCTATGCAGGGCTTCAGAACCATGCAGTCTACACTAAAGACCTTGGCAGTCAGCTCCCACATCTTCTTAGAAAAAGTACAGACCCATTAATGTGAATTCAAGGAGATGATACACATTCAGCACTGCCAGAAACTGAAGCACTAGAGAGCAAACCAAGCTAGGGACACTGTGAACTGGATGAAAAACAGCCCAGGGCCCAATGGGCTTACCTACAGAGACAGCAGCAAACACCTAACTAAGGAAGACTGTAATGGCAGGTACAAGCCCAAACCAGCACTTATTCTGGGATGCTCTCCCAGTGACCAGATATTTGCAAGCAAGCACTTGCAGAACCATGGCAGGGTCTTACATTTAAATATTCTCAATAGACTTTTCTTACAGTTTATACAGTTTTACATAGTGTACATACATTAACCGTTATCTGACCACAAAAAGACCTTCCTTTTTCTCCCACAGCACCTTTGTTTAAAGCCTTTGATGACAGACCATGTGAAACTCCTATGAGAGTCCAAGCAGACCCCTTAAGCAGCTCCCCCTTGCCCATGCGCCTGCTGTCTCGTTCATGACAACTTGTGGGTTTGCGAAAAACATGACTTCTGTCACGTTCCTGTTTCTTCCCCAGTGCCCCATGGGTTCCTGATTTAATTTCAAACTGTTTGCCTGTGGCAGACCAAGTCTGCTACCTCTGCTAAGTACCTTCAGCAGGGATTCCAACTAATCCAAATTATATTTAAATACCGAACTATAGAAACAATAATGGCAAGTAAGCTTGGCTTGGCTAGAAGAGACCCAGCACACTGTGAGGCAGCCAAATAGAAAGACAATAAAAGGCAACTTTCTCACAAAAGGACAGCACAGAAACAGAACAGCCATGAGCAGAGAGGCCAGGTGAATGCAGAAGATGTGGGAGAAAAGCCTGGTTTCACTGCACAGTCCACTGGAGACGTCTGTGCTAAGCCAGCAGTGCTTGGCAGAGCAAGTCAAGCCACCTGGTGCTTGCGGAATGGAGTGAGGGACATTGCTGATGGTTGCTAGTCATATGTCTCCACAAAGGGTGGGAATGCAGCATGCAGGGACACAAGGACTAGCCCAAGCAGTCACAAAGTCCTCAAAAGACAGGCATGCTTCAGTGTGGAGAGCCTGGAGAAGGCCAGGACTGTCAGCAGAAAGATACAAGAGCTGGGAATAGTGGGGGCTTAGATCTTCCAGCAGATCAGTAAATGTCAGATGCTGGACTGGCAGGAAATTAAATGAGACTAAAGGTGAAGGAAGGCAGTTTTAATGGGCAGATTCAAGTTTATTAAACAGGATATGCTAGTGAGGAGCTCAGTGGTGCCAACAGAAGATGGCAATGGGAGAGAAGACAAGACAATGCCTGCATTAGCACAAGCAACATGAAAGTGTCAGAGGCCATTTCTCCAGGTCCCATAGACTGTGCTCTCTGCCTATGACTCCCTGCAACCCTTACCTCAGCGTGGGCTTGGGTGTGCTGTGCACACTCTCATTGTCCTCAATCTCCGGTCCACTGTCACTGTTGTTGCACTCTTCCAGGCTGTCATAGAGCAAGCCCAAGTCTTCCTCCACCTCCTGGGTCTGGTCTACAGGGTCAGAGTCCAGGACCTGTGGGACCAAGGCCAGAGGACAACGAAGAGATATGGAGTCACCTGCATGCCAGGCCAGGGACATACAAGCTCTCTCCCAGCCACGATGCACACCATGGCACTGTTCCCACTTCAGGGAGCCAAATCCAGGCTGTGGAAGAAGCAAGTGACACTGCCATTGGGCCAAAGGAGGGTGCCATGAGTGTGACATCTGAAGGAATCACAGATACCCGTCATACTTATTGGGAGTTAAGACACCTGAAAGGACCTCCACTGGCTGTGCTGCACATTCAGTGCAGGCTCCCCGCCAAGGCCAGCTACCCCCAGGCTGATGTCAGTCTGCTCTTAGTCATGTACAGGATTGTCCCTGCAATGCCACCTTCTGAGGCAGAGCTAGTGTATGACAGCACCCTTCTTTTCCTGGCCCCTCTCCCCAACAGAAAGGTGGTTTTGATTTGAGCATGAGGCTCAGAGCTGCCTTCTTGAGGCAGAAGGCTTCAGAAAAGCCAAAGCCCAGTCCGTGTCATGTCTCACACCATCTTTGGTAACATCCCTGAGCATGTGCAGCTCATGCCTTGTGCTCCCATTGAGTGGGAACCAGCACTCTGACACCCATACATCTACAGAAGACACTGCCAAGTGGGGCAGCCTTCCTGCTTCTTACCTCCTCTGTCACTTTAAATCTCTTCAGCAAAGCCACAAATTTCTGCTTGAAGTTTGGTTGCTAAAATAAAACAAGGGAAGAAAAAAGATCAACAAAACTATAAACCCACATTCCAAGATGACTAATGTACAGGCCACAGTTGCTCTCTTTAACAGCTGCCCGCTCCCTTCTGGGTCCACAGGCTCAAGGTCAGCTATGACCTCCCTTGCTCTTTAAATTTGCTGTAGGATTTGGACTAAATCTGTATTCTGCAAGAAGCCACTGTATCTGGGCATGAGGGAGGGTGCAAGGACTCAGACTGTCTCTGTTACAGGCCGGAATAGCACTTTCTCTCCATTTAAATCCCCTTTCTCCCCGTACCATCTGGTTGAGAAATGCTGCCTTCAAGCAAGAAAAGACAGGGAACAAACTCAGGAAGAGGGTGTCCAGGGATCTGCAGGGCTGAAACAGTTGGGGACAAGGAGATGCTTGGAGAGCAGGGGGCTGGCAGGGCAGCTCCCCCTTCTGCTGATAGGCAGAGGAGCTACTTGTGGTTCACGTTTCCTTGCACCAACCTTCCCCTTCTTCAGGGAGGGAAATAGAAGAGACCGTGTCACAGCAGCAAGTCAAAACTGTTGCACACAGATCGTCATTGATGTGAAGCCAGGCTAAACACAGTACAGACCATTAGCTGGGGTACAGCTCTGAGCAGCAAGCCAACTCATTAATGACAAGAGGTCTGCCCCTTCTTCTCAGAGCCAAGTGCTCTCTCTCCTGCTCTGCACCACTGCCGGCATCCCTCCCAAACCCCCCTCACTCCCTGCAGGGAGGGGAGGAAGTGAATCTCTTCCATCCCTTTGATCACGTTGTAAATGCTGATGTTACTCTGGTCATTGATGTGGTTCGGATCATTTTCCTCCTAGCCTTCTTGGTTTTCCTCAAGTCATCTTCTTCATCAAACAGATCCTGCAGACAAAATGTCACAGCACATCAGAGCAACAGCTTTCTGCAACAGTCCTGCAGGGAGCAGCATCTCCTAGAAGTTGCCCTGCCCCACACTTGTCCCCCATTTTGAAAAGCTTTGGTCCACTCTGCTCCCAGAGTCTTGGTTCTCGCTTCTCCCACCTCTCTCCATGCAGCTCCTTCTCCCTCCTTAGCACTGTCCCCCCATAGACCTTCTTCCCCAGCACCTTTGCTCTAAGGCCCCACCAGGTGGACATGCACCAGCAAGATTCAAAGGAGAGACAGCAGCTTTCTGCAACAGTCCTTGTTACAACCTAAAACTCTTCTCTCACCAGCCTCCCTGTGACCCATGTGTTGCCCTCCTGCTCTCCAGGGCTAGCTCAGAGAGCACAGCACCTGAGCTTACAAAAAGTGTTCTTCCAGGGATCAGCCTTAACAATACACACAGCTCCCAGGGACATGGGGCCCTGATGTGTTAACCCAGCATGATGGGACAGGTAATGTGGAGGACCCTGAACAGGGGTTTGTCCCTGTGCTTGATCAGCATGCTACCACAAGTCTTTTTTTGACCTCGAGTGTAGGCACCACAACAAGAAGACAGCAAACAGCAGTGGCACAGCTCACCACAGTGCTGGGATGGGTCTGCTGCCTCTGCTCATTTTCAGACCCAGACTGTACTTCTTCCTAAAAGCTTTGTTCTCTCTCAGAGAGAGGGCAGCTTCTGGCCCATTATCACAGGGAGACAGGAGAGAACTGTGGTGCAAGGTGGAGGTGTCTCAGCAGGGGTTTATGCTGTAGACCAGACAGCTCCAAGGACACGTGGGCGAGATCTATGGCTCTTCAAAGTCCCTTGCCCCACCATGGACTTGACAGCAGTCCACAGTTCTTCCTGCTGTCAGGTACTGTGGCTCTCTGCCCTCTGAAACCATGATCAATGTTTACAAGGGAGATGAGAGGACTCAGGGTGATCAAGACCCTCAATCCATGACTCTTGACCCAGAAATGGGACCAGGACATAAGCCATCCTGCCAGGCCTTCCTTACCTGACCCTGCACAGCATCATCACTGGCTTCCTGCTCTGAGGAGAAGCTGTCATCCTCTTCTTCAGAGTAGTTGTCAATGTCTGGGGAGCGATCTGAAAGCAGACAGTGCAGATGCCACAGCTAAGCATGATGCTGTGAAATGATCGGTATCTCTGGCAGAAACATGGGGACGCACTCCATTACCCATGTCCTGTCCCAAAGGCTTGCCTTCAGGTCTGTGATGAGCGCTAACACACCTGAAGCTTTGATTTTAGGACCTGAGGGGACGTTCCCGTCCTCATGGTCAATGGGCTGACTGGACAAAGAGTAGATGCTGATTTCAGCCACTCGGATGTTCACGTCCTTCATGTTGCTGTGGAGGCCCAGAAGCTGCCCGCCATCCGTCGGGTGCTGCATCACCTAGGCAGACAGACAAGACCCCTGCCGTGGTGACACAATGGCAGCTGGCAAGCAACCCCCTCTGTATTATAGTTAGCCAACAAGCCAGAGCACTCACAGCACTGAGCGCCTGCCAGCCAGCCCAGCTCCCTTCCCAGCACTGGCACGGGGAGGCCATGCGAAGCTCCCCTCTGTTCCCAGCACCCTGTACCTCAGCCATGTTAATGATGCCCACTGCAAGGGTCTTGTAGCCCAGGATCGTGCGGTTCTTGTATCTCTTCCTCCGCTGCAGCATGATCTGCAGCTTGTTGCCATCTCTCTTGAGGAAGTGTGGGTACTAGGGAAGGGAAGCACAGGGAAGAGGGCAGCATGAGGGCAGGGCTCAGCATGACACACGGATAGAAAACTCTTCCTCAGTGCTGACGTACAGCAGGATCGGACCTGCTGAGCTTTGAGGTGCCCCTCAAAGGCCACCTGCACTCCGCATCATCCTCCAAATCCACATTGCCCAGCAAAACAACCCCTGGAGCAACGGAGCAGCTGGCCAGCAGCAGGCATCTGTGCTGTTATGATCTGAGCATGGGCAACCACAGCAGGCCCCTCCTCAGAGGCTGCCCCCTTCACACTGAGCCCCCAAAGCCATGCTTGCTGAGAAATGCCAGATGAGGGGAGCACCAGGGAGCCCAGGGGACCAGGCAACACAAGGTACCTGCAGCGAGAAGGTCAGCTCCAGCTCAGTCTCCATCAGGCCGCCAGGCGGGAGGACGTATTCATTTGATCTCAAAACTCGCTTTGAACCCTACAACAAGATTGGTAGATGCACATAGCTAAGCTGGAGCGTCTTGGCCACAGACTCCACTGCACCACACATACAAGTCACTGGTGTTCACAGTCCACAAGGAAAGAGCCAGTGCCTTAACTCTGTTCTGTTCCACCTCACAGATCCACCTTACACACATCAATCAATGCTTCGCAAAATCCTGCAGTTTCTCCTGAGCTGCCAACAGCCCCCTCTCCTTACCCACCTGCCAGGGAGCACTTGCTTTTCCCAAGCCTGCTCTGCTTAATCCGGCTCCTTGCACCTGGGGCCCACTGGACGCCGTGGAGGGGAACACTGCTAGAGCCAGAGGGAGCCATGCATACGGCACCAGCAGGGCAAGGAAAGAGTCCTAACACACTGCCTAGCCAGGAAAGGAACAGGTCCTGGAGCACATGTCCACCTCACAGGAGATGGATCCAGTGTCGACCACTGCCCAAGCATGGCTGTCAGGATGGCTCTGCTGGGACCAAGGCAGGATCGTCCAGGGGAACAGGGGTGTCCCGCTTGCCCAGCTTGTGTCTCAGAAAACTTCTAGTCTTTTCCTTGGGCAACAGTCCGTATCTCTCCACATATACAAATGGTTTTTTGCCCCAGGAGGGCAGTAAGAGAGGCACTCTAACCACATGCCCACTCCATTTCTCTCCTTTACTTCTGTCCTATCTTTACTATCTCCATGGCTTGGCTGCTGACAGACACTGAATGACCTGGGATGCTACCTGCATGCACCAGGCTCTCTTGGTCCCAGGGTGGCACAACTCACAGACCCCCCCAGAAGGCCCATACCCAGTATCTGTGTCCCTGCAGGGCTGTGGGACCAGGTCCAAGCATAAAATAGCCCATGGTGCTTCCTCACTCTCTCCTGCCTCCCTGTGAATGGGCCAGCAAGCTGAGACATTGATTTAGGGAGGCAACAAGATAGGCCAGTACTGCTGTTCTTGCAAATCAGTTATCATTCCTTTTGTGAGCACTCCTTAATTTAAACTGTGGGCAGATGGGTCAAAGCTAACCAAATAGGCACAGCAATCCAGAGGAACCGGGTCCCACCTCATCTGTGTTGCTCCTTGTCAGGACCTCATTGCATCCCCACACCTTTCCCAGCTTGATCCTGACAGATGCCATGGCCAGAGACCCTTCAGCAACTTAGATGAATCCTAGATTTGGCTAAAGGTAGGTGAGGTCAGAGCCCCTAGCTCTTCATCTCCACTGCAAATGGGACAGCAGCCCAAGTCATGACAGGACCATGCAGGTGGCACCATAAAGGAAACTACAGCTACATCCCCTCTGCAATCAAACAGAATGGCAATGGGCACAGGCGTATTTCAGCATCCAGTGAGCACCAAGGAAGCTTGCTGACGGGAACTTCAGCAGGGTCCAGCACGCCTGGGTGGCGCTGATGTAAGGCCTTTCTTGCACCTCCGTTGCCGGTGTTACCCATGCTAGGAAGGGGAAAAAAAAACCCCAAACAACCTACAGAGGGGAGGCAAGAAAGGCCTCCACATTTTGCAGTGATGTAGCATTACGGTTCTCAGAGACACCCGAGCAAAGAAGCTCTAGCGAAACCCTCCTTAGTTTTCAAGAGGCCCAGTCTGAGCTGCCTGCAACACTGTTCCCAGCGACTGTGCCAGGAGCGAGGTTTTCCTGTGAAAGGTCTTCCTAAAACTGAAGAGGTGGAGCTCATCCCCTTCACCATCTGTGATCTTTCCTGGCCAAAAACGCACTGACTCCTCCTTCCTGAACTCTTCTTTAATAAGAGATGATAGGTGGTCACTCTGACAGTGACAATTTGCTTTAGTACATTTACCATTTGCTGTTTGTTGCAGAGAGATTATCCACCAAAGATTTGTTCTTTCATCAAAACACACATATGGGTGCAATTATTCCTCTTGAAGTTACTATTTCTGGGGATCAAGTTACAGCTTGGGTGGCATGTCCAGTGAGTGAAAGTTTCATAAACATTTCAGTCCTGTGTGTTACTGTCATTTACCAGTATGAAAGTTACACACCCAGCTCCAATCCAAGGCTCTGACCTTCAATGCAATGCCAGTGCTCATCCATGTGGCATTGCAAGGACTGGGACAAAGGCTGGTTCATTATCACAATGCAAGCAGAAGGGAGCAGCAGCAGAGCTCAAAGACCCCTAAGCAGCAGCAGTTTTTAGGTCCAGACCAGTTATTCATGGGTGCAATGACCTGGCAGGCTGTGTCCTGGCTGAGCTCAAGCCCTAGGAGATACCTGGCCGATGGGGTCACACAAAGGGAGAGAGATTATAATGTCTAAGCTCAGCCAGAGGACCAGCTCCCAGGGCATCATGGAGTATAGCACTCAGGACATGGGGCTAGACATTTTCTGCAAATGCATGAGGTACGGTCCTCTCAGCAAGGTAAAGCCACTACCTAAAGCCCAAGTTCAGCCTGCAAGGTAGGCTAGGTTTCATGAAATGGATGGCACTCACATATCCAGTGGGAAACACTGATCACCTTCAGGAGCAAATCACGACCCAGCACAAACTAGCATTGCTCCAGTTAAACTGATTAGAAACTAGCACCTGGAGGCTACTATCTGCCTATCAGCAACAGGGAGTTAAGAACAATTTGGGATTTCTAGTAAGGCCAACACAAACCTCATGAGGTTCAATAAAGGCAAAAGCAAAGTCCTTCTGTAGGACATCCCATGAATTTGCTGCCTGGGAAGAACCCCAGGCAGCATGACAAACTGCAGAAAGGGACAGGGGGGGATCCTGGGTACCCCTACATCAGCAGCATGTTCTGTTGCAGCAATGACACCAATCTCAGCCTCAGCAAATGTGCAGGCAGAGAAAAGGGATTCTTCCCCTCTATTCAGCATGGGCGACACCACAACTGGATTCCAGAGCCAGTTTGGGCTCCCCAGTACGAGACAGACATTGACAGACTGGAGCAAGTCCAGCAGAAGACATCAGGATGGTCAGGGGCTGGAGCACAAAGCATACTAGGAGAGGCCAAGTAAGCTGGGTTTGTTCAGCTGGAAAAAGAGAAGGTGAAGGGATACTTTAGTGTTGCCTACAGACACTTAGCAAGGAGGGTGCAGAGAAGACAGAACTGAACTCCTCTCAGAAGTGCACAGGGACAGAGTCAGAGGCAGCAGATAAGCTGGAACATATGAAATTACCATTAGATGCTGGGATTTTTTTTCTCTATGAGTGCAGTCAAACCTTAGGACAGGACACAGGAAGACTGAGGATTCTCCATCCCTTGAGAAATTCAAATCTCAACTGGACATGACCTTGAGCACCTGATGTAGTTCAGCTGTTCTGCAATTCAAGTAATGTCAGGCAAGACCAATTTCTGAGCAGAACAGTTAAGCATCACCATCAGTACTACAGGAAAACTTAATAACAGACTGTTACAGCGAAGATCACAGATGACAAAGACTGTCAAGGAAGTGAAAAGCAATAGAGAGAGGTTGTGGTCATGGATCTTCACTACCTAATAGACTGAAAACATACAGGAGCTTTCACTACTATACACAGGCACGTGATGCCCAGGCCTGGTTTGCAAGGTACAATCCCAAATTTCAGGTATAAATCTGTCCTGATAGGTCTTGTTTAAAACACAGTGTGGAGGCTAGAAGTGCACACCAAACCTGGAAAAGGAGGGAGAACTAACATAGTACGGGAGAGCAGGCCAAGGCAGACAGCAAAGCACTACCCAGAATTCAGTCTAAAGGTGCATTTTGGGAGAGAATAGCCCATTAAATATCATCAGCAAATTTAGTTATTTAGGGGGTAGCTGGAATTGCTCAGGTAGGAGTGGAAAACCCTACTAGTGGTTGCAAAAAGATTAGAAACAAAGCATGAGTGTCGTGTAAACAGAAAACTCTGCAAGTACCTTGCATGCATAGGAAGGAGGAGTAAAAAATACAAGTTCCTGCAGGGAGCAGGACTGTGGCAGCAGGCAGGCCTGGCAGAGCCAAACAAGCTTCTCAGCCTGGCCTATTTTGTAGCACACATTCTGGTCCGCTATGTAGGGGCTGTCAGCATCATCCCTCTACAGCAGCACCAAGGGTTGATCCTGAGTCACCAGCCACATCCTGGAAGCAGCTGCAGGAGGAACTGTATCCCTCCCACAGCACTTGTCACAGGAGTTGAAAATTCTTGGAGTGCTGGGGCTTGTTTTCTTCTTTCTTTGATTGTTTCCCCCTATTCACGGCTCAAGACTGGGTGTTTCTGAATTATTGTCTCTCTGCTGAGAGGCAGCACCAAGTGGCCCTTCACACCATAATCAGTTACAATGCCAAGATAGATACCTGCACCTTTATGTAGCTGAGCCAGGCACATCTCAATCTCTTAATGCCATGCTGAACAATACACAGAAGGAAATGCTCTATGACATCTCCAGTCTGTTAAAACAAATAATGAGGGATAAAAGTTTAAAAACCACTCAAGTAATATGAGAGCAAGTCCCCTTTTTCACAGTAGTTCACACTTTATCTCACTGGAAGCCACTGAACATTAAATATTCAAATCACCTTTGGGAAATGGGTAAGTTCTGTAGACATAGAAAGTTCCCTTAGTCCTTTGACAGAGGTCTTTTCAGATGAAGGAACAGATAACAGCACATGCCACACTTGGAAACTGTCTTTCAAGACCAGAAGGGCATGATCACTGCGAGAAGGAGATCAGATATTCTAGACAGGCTTAAACTATACTTTGGGTCATGTACATTCATTGACCAGACTGTTTCCAGTGCTGGGGCTGTTGTCTTGGTGCTGGCCCCAGTCGGGCAGGGTCAGAGCTTTGTTTCCATGCAATCTGCCTTTCAGAGCAGCAACTTCCTGACAGGCAACTTCCTCAACCCAACAGAGCTACTGCTGAAATGGGAGAAAATATAGCTCCCCTTTCCAGTAGTCCCCAGCTGCCCCCTTGGAAACTTGCAAGTCCTCCACAAATTACAGGCATCATCTGTTTCCATCCAAAAGATGGAGATGGCAACACTCGCTGGGCAGCCTTCAAACAGCTTTTTGCTAGCATGACTCATCTGTTACCTAGGAGAGGAGCAGGAGGGATGGATCCATCTGAGGCCATTCTGTAGGCAGGCTGTGCTGAAGCTGCCTACAGATTCCATCTGCCTTCCAGGAAGGCTCAGCAGCCCCCAACCCTGCCAAGGCGGCTGGTCAGGCAGGTGGAAGCAGCCTGGGGAGGCACACAAGTCCACCTCACTCCCACATTGAGTGTTGAGCCACAGGGTCATGTGGGCAGAAACATTCTCCTTCAGTTTTCTTCAGCTTTGCAGGGAGCCTACATCAGCATGCAGCCACAGGTATGTGGCCACACAGAGAGGAGGTGACCATGTTTAGACTAAGACCCTGAATGCAGACTCCATTCCCTGGCAGGGAAAGGAGCCCTGCAGTGAAGAGCCCCTGTGGCCTCAAACAGTCACCGCTGAGGCCTGTTAGTTTCTCTTGCCAACAGGGTGCAAGTTGGGCCTGTGGTGGGGACGGGGGTGATCTGTTTGAAAAAGCTGGAGTCCCACCGTGCAGCCTCTTCCATGGTCTGACATTTGCAGTGCATGAGAGAGGGGGCAGCTGAGGACATACGTGCTCAGCACATGACAGCCCCAGCATAAGGGGGGCTGCACGGGAGCCCAAGGCTCCCCAGTCCAGAGAAGCACAGATAGCTTGGGCAGACAATGCAGGAGATAAAAGGAGGGACCAGCCTAGCCCTCCTAGCTAGGCGGGACCCACAGCCCCCAGTTGTCTCCCAGCCCCCCAAGTCCTGTGCTGCTGGCATCTGGGGCCCAGCTTTGACTGCTCCTGCATTTCCAGGGGCCAGGCAGCTCTCTCCTGCCCAGGTTGTTCCCTTGCTAAAGCCTGCAACAAAGGGGCACAAGTATCGGGGGTATCAGGGCTGAAAGCCCAGTGCTTTCAGCTCTCCTGAATGGCACCATACACACAGTGATGAAAGGCCAGCAAAGTGGGACACTGACCAATAAACAGTGTGTGGACCCCAGCATCCTCCTGCTGTCTTCATCCCAGGCCCCAAGTTTCACACATTTTGCTTTCAATTCTTTCTGTGTGAGTGAATCGGGTCTGCCATGAAGGCAAACCCCGGCTCCCAGAGCTCCACTAATACTGCAGCTTCCAGCGCTAATCCAGGATTTAGATCCCAGTGTATGCTGCACAAAGAGCTCTGTGGGAGCACAAAGCTGCTGAGCTCCCACCCCACAGTGCTTTCAATGGGATCAGCAGCTTTTCTGCCAGCTGACAAGAACGAAGGAAGGACACCAGCATCCCAGCTGAGTTAGGGGAGCTGTGGTGAGGACAGCATACTCAAGAGGCATCTTGCTTCCATGCTGTCCTTTGGCAGGCAGAAAGGATGTGCCTGCACCCACAGGGACCCATCTCTTCACCACCAGCTGCAGAGAGGGAAGGGGGGAGAATTGCACATACCAGCATGGGGGCAAATTCCCTCTCCCCTTGGTGACAAAGATCCTCTCCCCCCCCCCGGTTCAGAGTAGAGGCCCCAGGCCTAGGGGGGGTGCACAGAAAAAGGGAGAGCACAGCAGAGGCAGCAGTGAGATCACACAGGGTGCAAATGTCAGCAGAAGTCATGCACAGAGCTGCTGATCCCTTGCACCATTCCCTTCCCACCCTTCACTCCCCAGGGAGGGGATCCAGATGGAGGGCACTGCCAGAAACCACCCAGCGCTGAGCCCATCTGAACGGTGAGACAGGGGACACCAAATTCCGAACAGGAGCTTGAGAGGAGGGCCTTGGCTGAGGCAGGCAGGGAAGTAAGATGCACTCTGTCTCAGTGCAGAGGCCTAACCAAATTCATCCCTGATACAAACCAGCACCAGGCAGCTTGCTGCTGTCCCTGGGGCATCATTCCTACCTGCCTGGGAGCCAAAATCTCCACAACCAAGTGGTGCTAACCAAGACAGAAGCAAGGGGTTGGCACAAGGCAAAGGGACACACAGACCAGCACTTCACAGAGGGCACAAGGATGGGCGTGCTGCCATCAGGCAGCAGCAAGGAGAGGAGCCTACCTGAATCTTCACAGCAATAAGCACAGAGCTCAGCTCTTTGTCCAGCTCTTTCAGCACCGTGAGTTTCTTCAGGCGCAGACTGCAGAGCCTGTAAGACAGAGAGAATGGGACACATTCAGGCACCACCATCCCTGGGGCCCTGCCACATGGTACCCGGTGCTCGGAGGGCAGCCTGGATGCTTGGCCCAGCCGCAGGCACAAGCTTGGCTGAGGAACACTGGCATTCATGCGCCACTGAGACGGCCCATTGGGGAAAAAAGGAAAGAAGGAAAATTAACAGAGCTAAAGCAGGCTTAAGGGATTAGCATGCAACAGGAAGTCCAACAGCAGGCCATGTGGTAAAGAGATCCCTTCCCAAGTAGGGCTGTTGCCAGCTCTGCTTAAATCTACCTTGGCCACAGTGCTGTTTATTTATAAACCAAAGCACTTAAATCCACTCTTATCCTGGTCTTAGTTAAGGCAAATGTTCCCATGCAGACATTACAGCTCAGGTCTTCTCTTGCACAGTACCACACAGAGCTGACTTGGGAAGCTGGGAGGCAGCAGCCCCACAGGAATCCTTGTACAGCAGAGCCAGCCTGACAACCTCAAATCGTGGAGACTCAGTATGGTAAGTGGCACTTCCAGGAAAAACCCATAAAGGAGCCTGAGGCTGAGTGAGAAGAACTACTTTTGCTGCTCAAAGGATTAGTCAGCGTCTGTGAGACAGCCAGCCACCCCAACCTCCTGCCTAAGAAGCCTGCAGCAGGACTCCCATGGAGACTACTTGTGAGGAAGTATGTGTCAGGGAGCGCAGGCTGGACACGTTTTTACAAGAAGCAACACCAGCACTCTCATGCTTCGCAAGCTAGCCTCTGTGCTCCACACTCAATGTCTGCATTGCTGCAGCCAGTGGTACCCACGGCTTTTGTGGATACCAGTGTGCTGTACCTGAGATTTAGGCCACTCTTCCTGGAGAACAGATGGACCACTATCGAACGCCTTTCTGTCTGACACACTGTGCTCTCTCAGGTCCAAAGCTGTTCCGCCTTGCTTTTTTGTTGTTGTTGTTTTTAGAAGGAAAAATCCCCTTCTCTTGCTAGGCTAATGCACATTAACAGTGTAGAACAGCCCAGAGATGGAATGATATTGGAAAGGGAAGGACAGACAGCCAGTACTGTTGGACAGGTTTATGGCTTAGCAAGCACTCACCTCCTACCATGTCCCTGCTCTCCCTGCTAGAATGATTTTAGCTTGTGTAGAAGGTTTGCTGGACTGTGACTGCAACCCTGCTGCTCTGTCCTTTGCGTTTGGATAGCAGGGCATGGTGGAGACCAGAAGTCAGGAAGCTCTGCCCGCCTCTTTGCCAGATGGCCTGGATTCCTTCAGCCAAAGCCCAGGTCTACAGCCCCCTAAGCCCTCATACACACCCCAGCACTGCAATTAGTGATCCTATCTTTGTCCACCCTTTCCCTCTGAGCATCTGCTTGTAGGAAGGGAGAAATCTTATCATCTAGAGCAGGCTTCTTGCTCCCCAGAAATACTTAGGCAAGTTTAAGAGTGAGACGTGGGGAGCGTGGCCAAAGACAAGGAGTTCACCTCTAGGGCAGGGAGGGCAGGACTGAGTGCTAGCCAGAAAGATGGGGTACAGCAACTACACCAGATGTATTAAGGAAAAGCTTGCAAAGAGGCTAAGCTTAGCTAACATCACTAACTAGTGCTAACTTTGACTGTCCCTAGTCCCTAGACAAGCCACAGAGAAGAATGAGGCTTGTATGTGTAAGCCAAGGACAGAACATCTACTCAAATTTTCCATACAGCACTGATCTAGTTGTGATAGTTACCTGCATGGAAAAGTTATCCCCAAAAGATTAAAACTTCCATAAGGATATCCAGTCTTAATTTGAGGATATTTAAAGATTATAATTCTACCTGGCAGTTGTTCTCCCTGTAGAAACATGCTTCTTATCCAAACTAATCCACTCATTAGCTCTTCATGCTCCTCACTGAGGCACTCAGGAGTCAGTACCTGGTATTTTTGCTTGGGGAAGAGTATGTGCATACTGATCAGCTCTGCCCACTTGGGCAGCTCTTTTATCCCTGATAAGGCACTTTAAAGCTTCTTTATTCTCTTTCTACCCCTGTCCAGTTTTTAAGATCTCTCTTACATGGTGGGAGACCCTGTATTCTGCCCCGGTACTTCCTATACCACATGCAGGAAGGTGGTTACCCCCTTCCATCCTCTGCTCACTCAAAGATCTCACTAGCTCAGGTATAGCTTGTATCCTGCAACTCCAATCCCTTCTCAAAAAAAACGATTTCTAAAATACCACTACCCCTCCTACAGGGATTAGCACGCATATTCTGGAGTCTAAATCTGTAGCACAAGAGCACACAATTTTTAAAAGGGAGCACCATAGCAGCTTGGCTGTCCCTGATGACCCTCTTTTGACCTGTTACTTAACCAATCCCTGCATCACCCAGATTTGTGTCATCACTAGGTGTTTAGTGCCAGTACTGGACAGCAGTGGGTCTCGCACTAATCCCTGCAGATCTCTGTAGGACAGGATTGATCCACAGTGATCAGAATGGTATGCCTCTCTCAAACACTTCAACCAAATTCCATGGCAACTACTTCATGGTCTTGCCCAGAACTGACCACTCAAGTCACTGAACTTTTTGGTAAATAAGTTATAAATCTGGATCTACTTGCTCATATAATTAAACAGAATAAGTAGCAACTGCTCTTGAGCTGTTGAACTACTGCAAGGACTTCCTCTATATCGAGTTGTGGTGAACAATGACTGTGTAACACTGATAGCAGCAAGGAAAATGACCTCCAACAGGACAGTCTGACAGACTTCTGGAACTCCAGTACTCCTATACTCCACCACTGGTTGTTTACTGGTGAGAGGTACCCACCATTTCCTTGTATTATCTTCAACAATGCTGCCTTCTTTCCATCACTAACTGGCATGGTCAGTCAGCCAAAAATCGTCTTTCCTGACCACGGCTTTTTAAACATGCAACAAAATAAAGCAGCTCCTACTTTTCACTCACTCTGTTCTACCTCCTTATTCAACTTGGTACCAAGCAGGAGCATGCACTCCACCGTTGCTGTTGGCTGAGGAGGTAACAAACAGGAGTATGTGTACACATACACACATTCACACACCCATCACTGCCACCACCCCCAGCTAAGATGATGGTAATGAAAAGGAGCACACACATACACACAAACATACGTATCCTGACAGCACCACCCCCAGCTAAGGAGCATGCGCATGTGTGCACTGACACACATGCACACAGACACTCTCACTCACCTTAGCTAAGCAAGCACTGACTTTCAAAGTTGGGATTCTGAACTGCAAGCAATTACATGAAAGTAAGACGGGGAGAGGGGGAAGAGAGAGAAAGGAACAAACCCAGGAACTCACTGAGTCAACTGTCTGACAGCATTAAAAACTCAATGGTGAAATTTTCTAGAGTATGTTCTCAGACACTGAAGTCATACTTTGAAAATACCCCAGAACTAAAGTTGCCGAGGGAAGGGAACCTCAATCCATCCCAATCCTACCAGTTTGATGCCAATGCCAGCAGTAGAAGCCCAGAGCCTGGACAAGGATCACAGGTCAGCAGGACAGCACCTGAAGTGCAGCACAAAGGAATTCCAGCCAGTAAGCCAGCTTCGTCAGCAGCCCAACTTAAATGCCTCTACACAAATGCATGTAGCATGGGGAATAAACAAGAGGAGTTGGAGACATGCGCGCGCCTGCAAGGCTATGATCTCACTGGCGTCATGGAGATGTGGTGGGATGGCTCCTATGACTAGAGTCTTGGAATGGAAGGATACAGGCTCTTTAGGAAGGACAGGCAGGGGAGATGAGGAGGGGGTGTCACCCTCTATGTCAATGACCAGCTAGAGTGCATGGAGCTCCACCTGGGGATGGATGAGGAGCTGACCAAGACCTTATGGGTCAGGATTAAAGGGAGAGCAGGGACAGGAGACACTATAGCAGGGGTCTGCTACAGGCCACCCGACCAGGGAGACTGAATGGATGAGGCCCTCTATAGTCAGATCGGTGCAGCCTCACATTCACAAGCCCTGGTCTTCATGGGGGACCTAAAACAACCCGATATCTGTTGGAGAGACAAGACAGTAAGGCATAAGCAATCCAGGAGGTTCCTGGAATGTGTTGATGATAACTTCCTTCTACAAGTGACAGAAGAACCAACAAGGAGAGGTGCCACGCTGGACCTTGTTCTCAACAAGGAGGGGCTGGTGGGGAATGTGAAGCTCAAGGGCAGCCTTGGCTTCAGTGACCATGAAATGGTGGAGTTCCAGATCCTTAGGGCAGCAGAGAGGGCACACTGCAAGCTCCCTACCCTGGACTTCAGGAGAGCAGACTTTGGCCTTTTCAGGGATCTGCTTGGTAGAGTACCATGGGACAAAGCCCTGGAGGGAAGAGGGGCCCAAGAAAGCTAGCTAGTATTCAAGGATCACCTCCTCCAAGCTCAGGAGCAATGCATCCCAACAAAGAGGAAACTGGGCAAAACCACCAAGAGACCTGCATGGATGAACAGGGAGCTCCTGGACAAACTCAAAGGCAAAAAGAAAGCCTACAGAGAGTGGAAGCAAAGACAGGTAGCCTGGGAGAAATACAGAGAAATTGTCCAAGCAGCCAGGGATCAGGTTAGGAAAGCTAAAGCCCTGATAGAATTAAATCTGGCCAGGGACATCAAGGGCAACAAGAAAAGTTTCTACAGGTACATCAGTGATAAAAGGAAGACGAGGGAACATGTGGACCCTCTCTGGAAGGAAACGGGAGGCCTGGTTACCTGCGATATGGATAAGGCTGAGGTACTCAATGACTTCTTTGCCTCAGTCTTCCCTGGCAGGGGCTCTAGCCACACTGCCCAGGTCACAGAAGGCAAAGGCAGGGACTGGGAGAATGAAGAACCACCCACTGTAGGAGAAGATCAGGTTTGAGACCATCTAAGGAACCTGAAGGTGCACAAGTCCATGGGACCTGATGAGATGCATCTGCAGGTCCTGAAGGAACTGGAGGATGAAGCTGCTCAGCCACTCTTCATCATATTTGAGAAGGTGTGGTAGTCTGGTGAAGTTCCCACTGACTGGAAAAGTGGAAACATAACCCCCATTTTTAAAAAGGGGAAAAAGGAAGACCCAGGGAACTACAGGCTGGTCAGTCTCACCTCCGCGTTCAGCAAGATCATGGAGTGGATCCTCCTGGAAACTATGCTAAAGCACATGGAATATAAGGAGGTGGTCAGTGACAGCCAACATGGTTTCACTAAGGGCAAATCGTGCCTGACAAATTTGGTGCCTTCTATGACATGGTTACAGCATTGGTGGACAAGGGAAGAGTGACAGACATCATCTACCTGGATTTCTGCAAAACATTTGACACTGTCCAGCGTGACATCCTTGTCTCTAAATTGGAGACACACGGATTCGACGGCTGAACCACTCAGTGGATAAGGAATTGGCTGGATGGTCACACTCAAAGACACGTGGTCAACAGCTCAATGTCTAATTGAAGACCAGTGACGAGTGGCGTTCCTCAGGGGTTGGTATTGGAATTGGTGCTGTTTAACGTCTTTGTTGATAACATGGACAGTGGGATTGAGTGCACCCTCAGCAAGTTTGCTGATCCAGCGGGACCTTGACAGGCTTCAGAGGTGGGCCTATGAAAACTTCATGAAGTTCAACAAGGCCAAGTGCAAGGTCTTGCACATGGGTCGGGGCAATCCCAAGCACAACTACAGGATGGGCGGAGAATGGATTGAGAGCAGCCTTTAGGAGAAGGACCTGGGGGTGTTGGTGGACAAGAAGCTCAACATGAACCACCAATGTGCACTTGCAACCTAGAAGGCCAACTGTATCTTGGGCTGCATCAAAACCAGTGTGACCAGCAGGTCAAGGGAGGTGATTCTTCCTGTGTACTCCACTCTCATGAGACTCCACCTGGAGTACTGCTTCCAGTTCTGGGGTCCCCAGTACAAGAAAGACATGGAGCTGTTGGAGCGAGTCCAGAGAAGGGCCACAAAGCTGATCAGAGGGCTGGAGCACCTCTCCTGTGAAGACAGGCTGAGAGAGTTGGGGTTGTTCAGCCTTTTTTTTTTTTTTCTGCTCCAGGTTGCAGTTTCCCAGCTGTTTCCTTCTTCTCTAGTTAAATGACGAATTTGGAGGTTTTGCTCTGAAGTCTGATGAAGCACTGTCACCAACCTGGCCTCCGAGTTCATCTTGAAGAAGCAAAGCTCCTGTAACAGATGTATTTTCTGAAATTCAGTGCCAGCAAAAAAGCACTGGCTCTAGCTGTTGCTTGCAAATTCATACAACCTCCTGTCCCAACAGGTGACTGCTGCTCACAAGATGACATGCACAGTGGCTAGTTTTACTGTTGCATTTCAAGACCAATGTTTCAGTGAATGCCACACATCTCTAAAGCCCCTGATGCCAGGGGAATACAAACAAGAGGTACAGCTCCTAAGGCCGGTAGAGAGGGAAGTAAAACAGGATGAAAATACATCTGTGCACAGTACAGGAGGAGCAGGTTTGAGCCTGTGCTTTGCCCATAAGCCAGAGAGCAACTAGTAAGGAGAGGAAACAATTTTGACCTACCTACAGTCTCAGCAAAAAGATTTGGGGGTCCACCATACACAGTGAGGGGAGCAGCAGCTTTAGAAGCACCCTGTAAAACGGGAGCTGCACAACTATCCAAAACTTATCCACAACCTGGCAAAGATGCCTGGCAGTGAAGCAGCCTGAGCTCTGTGTAAACAAGGAACCTCAGACTTCTCTTTTTGCACAGGACACAGGCATTGAGGAGGCACAGGTGCCAAGGAGCACTTCTACAAGGATCATACATGGAAGGTGAAGGCTAGAAAGGAAAGTGAGGCAGCAATGAGGGCTCTTTGAATGATACACCTGGCCACTAATGAGATATAAAACCTTAATAGCATACTTCACACTCCTTTTGAGCAGACATGGTACATTTTTTCTGTTAGCATCCTGGGCTGTTCAGTGTTTTGCTTACTGACCACTGGTCAGTGGCAGCTCATTCTCTGGGCAGGATTATTCTTCTGAACATTTGCACTGATTTCTTGAAGTGGCAGCAGCCAGGCCTCCTGGGTTTTGCCTGTAGCTCCCATGCCACCTACAAATGTTAGAGTACATCCACCTTTCCCAGCACTGACCCTCCATACATTCTTGTCAACACTACCATCCTTATTAGATGCACGGTCGTGGGCTAAGCTTTCAATACCAGCAGTTTCGCAGCTCCTCAGTATTCTTCCTGACTTTGACAACTCAAGTTTGCCTTTCAAGGTGATATCCACCTCTGAGACTGGGCTTCTGGACAAATACCAGATTTTCAGTGGGGCTCACGAGGCACGGGACACTCATGCATCCCCTGCTCAATTGCTGTGCAGCACCTGTTTCCTGCAAAGCATCCCACTAGAGGGCAGAAGGCGGCCAGCCAGGACCAGACACCCCGGGCCATGGGGATGCCCTGCAGCTCGCCATGCACACTGCCGAGTCTCAGAGCAGTTTGTAAAAGCAGCTTTACCCGCTCTGACCAGGGGGGTGTCCAGCCCTACAGCTCACCTCTGAAAGTGGCCAAAGCAGGAAAGAGCACACAAACGGGGTGTGAGCAGTGAGGTACTGCCCGGAATGCGCTCTCAACCACAGCTCTCTGAAGGTAAGATACTCCCTCAGCCATAAGCGATATGTATGCATGAGACACCACTGATGCACACAGAGGGGAGGAGAGACCTACTCCACTTCCAGAAACCAAGTCCCTGTTGCCAGAAAACAGGAGCAATGAACTGGGACAGCAGCAAGATCTTCATCAGGCTCTGCAGCTCAGGCATCAGGATGGGTAGGTGGGCCAACTACATGCTTTAAGATGAACTTGGATGAAGGCTGACGTCAGCCTGCTTTGAGAGCCTCCCCAAGGGAAAGTGTGACAAAGCACGCAAGCCTCACTAGCACACTCTTGCCTCTCTGCCCTCCAGCAAATGCAACTGCTGCAGCCTGGGAAGGGCAAATCAAGCTGCAGTGAAGTGGTGTAACACAATAGGACGCAAAGGCCAAAGGCAAGGCCATGACAGCCCCCTCCTGGGATCCTCAAGGAAAGAGCTATGGCCAGGACCACCACACGACTGCTGTGTATCAGGTCTCCCAGCTGAGCTATGCAAGGTGGTGTGCAGCACAACAGCCCTGGTGCTAACCAGCAACCTCTTGCCATGAGAGAGGCATTTTGGCTCCCCAGCATCCTGGCTGACAGCAGCTTGCTACCAGTAGCACGTCTGCCCTGCTGCTGGATACAGAGCAAACTTCTTTTACTGCAAATTGCAGTAGGTTTGATTCATCCCAATTGCCAGGTGATTGTCTCAAAGGAAATCCCAGTGCATGAGAGACAGGAGGACAAAACTCCCCAGGTTGCTATGTCCCTTCCTTTCCTGTAAAGCATTTAATAGCTTATGGCTCTGCCTGCCTTAGGAAATCCAGCCTGTTTCCCCATGTGACTATTCTTGGTCCCCTCCATCATCCCAACTCCTTCCAAGTGCCTCTAGACAGATCAAACCCAGGGCCAAAGCTCAGACCTTCTGGAGGACCAGCTGACACTCTTCTTCCTTTTGCCTCTGAGGGTTGAATCAGCAAAGGAACATAAAGCCCATGCTGAGAAGGAGTTCCTTCTCCTCACAGCAGCAAGTTGGCCACACTACACAGGAGGAGGACAGAGGACAACGGTATGCTGGGAACAGCAAAAAATGCCAGTGGTGGCAGGGTATATATTACCAAGAGCAAAATGGCATCCTCAGTCAGGACTAATGGGAGGCAAAGGGAAGAAAACAGTGTCCTGCAAACAGATACGTCCACCTTTCCTTGCCTTCATGGCTGGCTGCCTGCAGCTGCCCAGAGTCCT